AATTTGCATTTCACTTCTACACTGTTACCCTCTAAATCTGATAGAATCAACGCAAAATCGTCAGCATATGATGTGTACATTTCATTTCCTAAAATATTTTTTATATCATTAACGAGTAAAAAGAGCATAGAACCTAAATTTATCCCTGTGGCACTCCCAATTCGAGTTTGAGTTTTTTCTGAAGTTTTTGTTGGTATCTCATCATTTTATTAATGTTTTATGCTCACTTACTGGGTTCTAATTTGTAAAAAATCCATTTAAGTGCAATGTCCCTGCATATGTCTCTAATTTCAGTAATAATTCGTCATGATTTACACAATCGAAACTCTTACTGAGTTCGCAAAGGACCCCAACAGGGCTCTCGCCTACCTCAGTCAGGTATACAATTTTTTATAATATTGAGAATACACCCTACATTTTGGAAATTTTCAAATTTAGTTGAAAAACAATATTTTTTGTGTTATGGCTTTAGATGCCGCGTCCCGCGGAGGCCTATTTTCGGTGGTAAATTAAAATTTTAAATAATAAAGATACAGTTTCGGCAAATGGTACATTTTTTGTAAATTAGCTTTCCTTTATTTCAAATTTCTCAATTCTTTATGGTTTTTGAAATATTTTCCCGATTTATTTTTCACCATTTTGAACTCATGAACTAGACTAATATATTCAGACAACTCCGAAATGTCCATGGAGATAAAGGAAAGACAGTCATTACCAATAAAATAATCAATATCTCCATTAGGAAACATATAATTGAAGGATTATAAAGTGAATTTGGTGGCAGTGAGATTATACTTTCTTTTTGTTCACATAAGAAAATGTATTATAAACAAATGTGGCGTATCTCAATACATTGATTAGCAGATTTTGTGAAAGGGAGAAGCGTCAAGTGAATTTCAAGATATGATGTGAAAAACGGGCATCATAAAAAAAATTGTGGAAGAAATCAAATTGAATCATACAAATTGTCTAAAAAAAGCAATGAGTTATAAATGCAATTTCGTACACTTGAAGTTATCATATTTTTTGTTGAAATCTTTGCGCTGAGTGAGTCTGCAGTTTCGAAAAGGCGATTTTATCCTGCAAAAAATGTTACACGTGAAATGCGTATTAACGAACATTTGAATTCTAATCATTGAGATTCATGAAGTTGGTGAACCTAATTACAACATTTTCATACAATGTATTTCCACATAACAATGATCTTCCACTACTTTTCAATTGCAAACAATTCCAAAAATAATAATGAAGGCACTCAACTTATCTTACCTGCTAAAATACCACTCAGACATTTCAATGAAAACAGAGTTTCAGGGACACATAAAGCTATAAAACAAATCATCCACTGGAATGATTCAGACAACTCCCAAATGACTAGTAATTATTGTTATCAACAGATTATAAATTATCTTTTTGCAATGGCCATTGAATGAAATGACAGTGAAGGATAACAATAAAGGATATAAAGATTCGTTTCAACTCAGGAAAAGGCGTTGTCATAATGAAAATGTTGCAGATTGAACATGATATCGTCCAAGTTTTTTGATATGTTTGTCAAAAAATTCACCTACTCCACTCATACGGTGTAGTAGGTGAACATTTTGAACATCTGATTTAATGTAGTAGTTGTGCGTTTAGGGAAGATTTTGAGAAAGCATTTGAGAATGCATCTAGAATTTTGAAAACTATTCTTTCAAATGAAGTATTGTTTATAAATACAAAAATTCTATTTTTTGCGGAATGCGAATGAATTGATTTCATTTGTTAATGTGAAAACCATAAGTAAATGAAAAAAAATTAAGAAAATTTACACGTATCACCGAATGAATCAGTACCAGTTACACACCAAAACAAGAACAAAAATCATGTTGTACAGCAGACAATGCGTTTTTGAAATATAGAGGATTATTTTCATCAATTACCGCATACGGCTAATATTTTCTCCAATATTACCAATTGTATTATAGTTGTAGAAAATTATGTTTCTGGAGTCATCATCCACCGTGAGGATAGTAAGAATAAGTCTGGAGACCACAATCTTCAACATAGCAACTGGTAAAGAAGCAATCTACTTTTATACAACGCATGTCCATCAAATAACATACCTGAAAGTTCTTATGGAATGATGAATCTTACAATTTGTTAAGGAAGTAGAACATATACCACGATGAGATGATGGCCTATGAGTCTCTATCAAAAACTTTTGTGGAAAATCACTTTAGTTCTAACATTTTCATTAATCTGATGCAGTAACGTCAGTTACAAATACAAGTAGTAAAACAACTTAGTTTGCCTGAATGTCGAATTTTCCAGGTTTGGTGCCTCCTTTAATAATTCGACTACTTTTTTACTGTTATCGATCCAGCGATCCAAATCGAATGTGAATCGCTACTTTCGCGCAGGCACCGCTCTCAGAACGCTTCAAGAATTTTCGTGTAGTGCTTGTGTTTTGTCATCAACAAAAATGTTCAAATATTATCTTTGGAAGAATATAAACATAGTTTCCTTGATTATTTTGTTCCAGAGACTTGACGGGGTTTGTCTGGAGATCTAATAAGAATAATCCCTGGTTTAATGGCACGAATGAGACAAAAAAATAGAAAAGCCTTCAGAAATCCGAATGAGAGTTTCTTATTGAAAATAACGATGTCCTGGGGAATTTTAAGAGGGATTCATGGGTAGGTCAATGTGACAGGATGTCCTGATTTTGCTGACTCTTTAGCTAAATTCGTGTCAATAGACAGTATCATTTATTCATGTATGGGAATAGTGTTTTGAACAATATCTTATCAGTGTTACTATCTTCATTCCGGTTTGAAGGCCGTCGTAGTTTGGAAATGCATCCTCACGTTTCGCTACCATGAGTAGCTTCTTCAGAGGATTATTCATCTTGATGATTCACCGATGACTGGTGAGTTCTAATTCGTAGGTTGTATTTATGTTGACTCAGGTAGTCCGTATCTCTTGTCGATGTGTTGCTATTGGCCGAAGTGTTTTCACCTGTTAATAATGTAACATTGCATAGCACTGTTGCCACTTCAGCATCCTTTAGTATGGGATTCCAAATCCAGTTGAGCGTTACCGCCTCCTCTTTTCTGTTGTAGTTTTCCGTATATTTATGGATTTCCTTGGATTCCACTACAAGCCGACTGTGACATTTATGATAGGGGACAAGTTATTTCATATCTTCAAACAGTATCGTGTTATCTCCTTCACTAAGGGCGTGTTCCGCAACTGCCGATTCGTCTATTCGATCTAATCTACAGTTTATCCGATGTTCATTCAGCTTTGTACCCATGGATCTTTTGGTGGCAACGATATAAACTTTTCCACAGATGCATGGTATACGATATACCCTCGCAGCTGATAGTGGATCTCTTTTGTCTTTCTCAGATCTAAGGCTTTGCTGTATTTTCCTGATGGGCTTGAACACTGTTTTTGTTTTATGGTTTTCTGAGATTTTTCCGATTCTGCCTGTAACCCTAGGCATGTACGGTAGAAATGCACGCACAATCGTTAGAGTTGTCTCCCTATTTTGACTTGTGGAAGTCTTCAGTTTCATGGCCTTGTTGATCTCGGTTACACTGTATCCATTCGATCATGAAGCCACTTGAAGATGCTTCAATCCTTCTTGTAGGTGTTTTGGTTCACATATTCTACGGGTATCTTTGTCAGGGTGTTGATAATTTCCCGCTTTTGACTTGAATGGTGGTTAAAAAGTGCATGCAGATATCTGTCCGTATGTGTCGGTTTTTGGTACCCTTTATGTGTCGGTCGTGTACATCTAGAAAAGCTATCCGTTGTTCCCGTTCAGTCTCCATGGTGAACTTGATGTTAGGATGTTGAGCATTTATGTGGTCTAGAAATAGGTTGTAAAATTGCTCCATGAAGAAGTTGGCTATCATCGGACTGAGTGGACACTTCCCATCGCTACGGCATCTAATTGCCCATGAAAATCTTTTCTCCATTGGAAGTACCTTCCCCTTAGGCAGGCTTTGATGAATCTGACAATATCAAAGAATCTTCCAGCTGGACGTTGGTGAACAAGGACACAACGTCGAAACTGACCAGAATATCACTTAGTTCCAAGGTTATTTTCTTGATTTTTCCCACAACCCGGTGCACTCACTATAGGTCTCAACGGAACTTTTTTATTGTGTATTTTTGGAAAACCGTGGAGTCTTGGTAGTTTCCGACAAAGATGTTGATTTTATGAGACGGATCGTATTCCGCAACCTTGATTGTGTTGGGTCTCTGCTAAGCTTGCGGTAGCTGGACGGGTCGAGAAGTTCTTCAATTTTTCCGATGTATTCTTCTGTTTTCAAGAGCACCGTGGCATTTCCCTTGTCAGCTGGAAAAATGGTGATCTCCTCATCTGAGTTCAGGTTTTTCAAAGTCACAATTTCTCTTTATGGTATGTTGCACTTTGGTGTCCGAACTTAACGTAGGATATTCGCTGTCACATTAAGAACACCATCTTATTGCAAATAAAAAACCTTTGGTATCTATAATTTCATTTATAATTCGGAAATCTTCATCACTCCATGATTAGTATACTTTTTTAGTGATATATTTGATTTCTCAGCACGATTTTTAAAAATTATATTCCATAAATGATACATAGTTTTTTCTACATCTTTACAAATTAGGAATACTTGAGAATATGTTTCTTTTGAAGGCATTCGTTGAATTGAATGTCCGTTGAAAAAAGGTCGTTATAAAATTATTCAAAGCATACAATTGTACTACCGTCAACAAGGTACGTACCCAGTGACTAATCCTTTTAAATTCCCGGAAACTTGAACGATCTGAAAGTGGGTGAGTATCTTACCTTTTGAGATAATCCTAAGAACCGGTGAGAATAATGCTAGAAGTATCAGTCGTCCATTCAAACGGTGACCATTTTTTCGATTGTCTCAAAGAAGTTATCAATCAAGTTTAGTCTGGTGGATCGCCACCTTCTTGAAATGTTTTATTGCTCAAAAATAAATTCAAACTCATAATTTCAAATTATATTTTATTTTCATAATACGGAATTTCACATTTCAAACACCCTCTATTGAACAGTTTTCTGTTAACAATTAGCCCTTGAAATAAAAAGTGAAGTACCTAGTCGTTGTTAGGAAAGTCCATATGACAAATTTCAAATTCGAAATTGAAGACAAACATTCTGATGACCAAAAAGCTCTCTCGAGATATCTGCTACATTTGTAAATATTGAAGAAACATTCTGTTGTTTCGAATAAAAGTGCTTTCGAAACTGATTTTTATGTGATCTTGTTAGCATATTAGCAACATTAGGCGTTAAGAAGTTCCATTCGTTCGTTAGTGTTTTTCATTTTATTCAAACTGTTATAAACAATATATGTCAAAATAATCAAAATGGTGGCTATTATTATCAAAACTAATATTGTTACTATCAACAATATTTCTCTCACTTCCACTTTCTCGAATTCCGGACAAAATGTATCACCATAAATATATTCCGACGAGTTTGGAGTTGTTTGGTTTATTTGGAGACCTCCTAGATATTTCTGTAATTTATCTCTAATGAAGTCTTCACCATATTCTTGTTTCATTGCATTATTTGAAATCCCTGTCAATGAGATATTATGATAATTTTTTATATTCTCTAGATATTTAACGAAACCACTATTTTTAAAGTCCTTATCAAAATATTCGTATATACCTTCATTGAATTCAACAGTAAAATTCTCAACATTTTTCAGATTTTCAAGATATCTGTAAAACTTGGAGTTTTCGAAGCCATTGTTAAAGAAAGAATAGATTTTAGAATCACTGAAGTTCAGTAATTTATGTTCTTTCATAGACTCTAAATACCTGTAAAAATTACTGTTCTTGAAACCTTCATTAAAGTAATCGTACATGATAGTTGTTTTATAATCTTCATTCGGCAGGACTTTATTCAATAAATTCTTTTCTGTATTTGAATCAGAGTTTTGTGAAAACTCTGGAGGAAAATTCGAGTTATCAAAACAGGGAATACCTTGAATGTTGGAGGAGTTTCTGACGCTTCCATATGCAACAATAACACTTTTACTTCTGAAGTAATGTATTATTTCAATGAGATCGTCACAGGTGAAGTTATTGCCACCCAGAGAAATTTTTGATACATGCGGTGAGTCTGCGATTATTTGTTCTGAATCCAAATGAAATAATTTATTTTGTTGAATATACAACTCATTCATATTCGCCAAAGAATGCAAGTATCTTTTTACGTCTGTGATTTTGTTATTTGATATGTCTAAGATTTGTAAATTTTTCAAATTTTCGAAAGTTCCATGATAAAATTGTTCCAGTTTATTGTTGGATAGATTCAAATTTATTAGACTAGACAAGTCTGAAAACAGTCCGATCGGGAGAGAAGATATATTGTTATGTTCCAATTTCAATATTTTGAGTGTATTTAAATGTTCAAAAGTATCTGAGAATAATTCAGAAATGATATTATAACTCAAATCAAAATTGATGACTCTGGAAGTCACATTCGAGCAATTATTTTTTCCAATCGACTTTAACCGATTTTTGCTGACAGTGATACTTTTAAAACCATTGATACAAAAATCTATGTTAGTGATTTGGTTCCAGCTCAAATCTATGTTATCAATCTTATGTCGAATACTTCTTATATTAATTTCGGTTATTTGATTGAAACTCAAATCAATATATTCAAGTTTGATGATGTTTTGATCCAAAACCAGTTCGTCAAAACTTTTCAAAGAATTCAAAGATAAATTCAATGATATTAAATTGATTGCTCCAGTCAAGCAACTGGGTCCCAATGTTTTCAGATCATTTTTTGATAAATCTAAAATTTGAAGCTCGGATAAGGAGTTGAAAATTCCTGGGCTCAATTCAGTAATGTTATTTTCACTAAGGTACACTTCTTTGAGAGAGTATAGAGAGTTGAAAGCTCCTGGTGATAGCTTTCCTATATATAGTCTTTCCATATGAAGAATTGATGTTGTGGAATATTTCGAAAATGCTGCTGAAGGTATTACTGGAAGATTCGAAGATACAATTTTCATAACACGAGGACAGTTATCGCAATTATGTTCAAAAGCTCTATGTGGTAATGGTAATGTGACTCCTGAGCATTGCAATGTAATATTATGTACTATTGTAACATATGAATAGGAGTTGTAATAACCATAATTAATTTTACGTTGTTGTTCAGTTGCAGCAGATTCTTCGCAGTCAAGTCCAGCACAGGGTTCCAGTAGATAATAACAGAAGAAAATAATTTTTAAATCCCACATGAACCTGAAATAAATATTTAGTTATTGATTGGAATCAATGAAAAGATAAAGTGGAAGAGTTCCCAACAATCTTTAAGGGCTCATTTATTAGTTGAACCGAATACGCACTTAACGTTAATTAGTCTGAAAAAACTAATTAATACAGTTCATTGTATGATTTTCACTATAAAGGGTTTTACAAGGAACACGAATATAGTTTCCAGAATGGACAAATAAATTTCACATATGCCGCTCATTTAATCACGAAGGGACATGAGTTCAACCATGAATACAAGCCCCTCCATTTCTAGAAGAAAAGTTTGAAACTTGACCTGTTGGAGAGTATGGAAATGAACAAATTCAAAAACTCTCAATATTTTATGAACGATCAAACTGAATTGAATAATTCGCCATCATTGAATCTGTTCATTTCCAGGTGAAAATAGTTGGGTATATTTATAGGTATACTTTTGAACAATTTATTGATGTATGAATGAATGACAAATGATTTGACAGATGTAACTTCAACAAGATGTCAATTATCAATTATCAAAGATTCTATATAAGGTATAACGTAGTAAAAGTTATATTGGTGAAACTTCAAGACCATTTATAGTGGGTGTGAATGAACATCAAGATAACATCAGAAAGAGGCAATTCACAGGATCACAATTTTCAGAATGAAATTAGACGGTGAACAACGAAATGAATGGAAAAATACGATTGGCAATGAACTCCTCACTCTGAGAAATATAAGATAAAAAAATCAGCATATATTCTTACACCTCGAGATGAGTGTATTTCAAATAGCTCTTTTGAAAAGGATCGTTCTTAGCTACCCATTTCGAAGAAAAATATAGATAGTGGCGAGATTGCAACAGACTAATATCTGAAAACCCCTTGTACTACATCGAATGTTTTGACGCATTGATCTGATGACATTCATTATATTCTCCATTGGAATTTTTATATTTTTTAAATGTGAAAGATGAAAGGAACAAAAAAAATTAAATGAAAAACTATAATTTTTTGGTAAATACTGATTTTACCATTTTACATCATGCGTTATACATTATACACCGTATAATATACAAAATACTGTATGCATTTAACATTATGCGTTATACATTGTATATTTCGGAATGTACATTTGAGATTATGCATTTCCTTCAGAAAATATATTTTATATAATTCTTTTCCTTCTTTAATTCACCTTCATCGTTGGATAGGTCACGTAGCTCCCCACAGGATCAACTAGGTTACCAGACCTGAACAGTTGATATATATTTCTTTCAATGTCTTTCTATCTTTTACATTTAAAGTGTCTGTGATGGAATTGACCTATACTCAATGGAAATCAATAACGTATTCAAATAACACTTCATTGTTAGATTTCACTGGACAGTTTACGAAACCGCAACAAAACTCTTGAGGAAGCTATTGTTGCGGTTTTCTGAGCTGTCCCATGTAAAAAATAAAGTATTACTTGATTAACTCAAGTGTCTGTTACAAATAACACCAGTCAGTGAATGAATGAGGACCTGAGAAACATAACAACTTTCGAATTATAACAAGGTAATATCACCGGGAAATTTGAAAGAATGAGCTATTCGAAGACAAGATGAATTTCAGTTTTTTGGGGAGAGAGTTACTAGTTTTCGTAAACTATGAAGAAATTATCAGTTCACATCTATTTGTACCTTCTCATTAATTGTTGAGAATACGAAAAAGAAAAGTTTTTCAACTGAAATTTCAAAAAAGGCTCTTCATTAAGAGTTTTCAACATTTGTGTTGTTACCCCAGATATAAAATTTCGATAATCGAATAGGAGACATGGAAATTTGAATACTATTGATTTTTTCAAAAGTGAAATGTTTAGTGAAATTTTACTTTTATCATTTGCTATATTGTGACGCAAACCTGAATACAAACTGAATAGAAAAAGTGTTTTTTCTATGAATCAATATTCATATAAAAGTAGTTGTTTCAAAATTATTTTTCTTCTCGTGTGATTTCACGTTTATATGAGAGTGATTGTTTCTAAACGACTTTTTCTTCCAGTTCGTGTCTGATAGTCACTTCCTTGTGAAGAGTTTTTTTTTTAATTATTTGCTATCTTTGAAAGATTCCCACTTTTTTTGTATGAATATGAAGAAGTATAATGTCAAAACCTTTCTTTCTGAAAAATCGATATCTTTGGAAAATATATCTTCCTCAATTTGAACCAGATTTCTATGGCTGGGATTGAATGAAATATGCGAATGAATGTTATTACATACTGTCATCGATGACGTGAGTAGATTCAACTCATTTGTGGCATAAGGTCGTAATTTTATGAATGAATTGAGTGTTCTATCTTGTAATGTTATCCACTGAAGAGACAATAAGACTAGTAACTTAATCCGAAACATCGATGTCCGCCATTGAGGATGACACTGTCCATGCAAGTGAAATTTTACTAATTTCACATACAAATGTTCGGATAACAACTTTTTTTCCAGTTTGTGTCTGATAGTTTGTATGATTACACATCTTTGTGAAGATTCCCACGGTTTTTTGTATGAAGATGAAAAAGTAGAAAGGCAGAACCTTTTATTCCCAAAAATTAATCTCTTTTAAAAATATACCCCTTTCAATTCCTAATAACTCTCGAACTACCTTTTGAAGGAATTCAAATATGTTTTACAATATAAAGAATTCTATTTGAATTGAAGGGGTTATATTTTTAGGAGTGATTCATTTTTGGCTTTCTACTACCCCATCTTGATACAAAATATGTGGGAATCTTCCAAAGAAAGGAAGAAAGTAATCAATTTGAAAATAAGTAACTCTATACATGACGTAAAGAAGCAACTTACAGACACAAACTGAAAGAAAGCCCTCCTGAAACAGTTATTTTCATAAAAACATTGAATAACACGAAAGAAAAAAAATTCTTTCGAAAGAAATACTTTTACATGAACACTGAATTATACAGAAGATACTTTTCTCTACACAGTTTGTATTCCAAACATTCGTTATGGAAGATTTCCACATATTCTTGTATCAAGATGCCAAAAACTTTTTTTCCCAAAAAAGAGTTCTAGTTATTTCAAAGAAATTAAAAAATATTTTCGAGTATCGTTTCATCCAGTATTCAAAAAATATTATCAAAATAAGAACGACAACTAAAAAAAACGCACAGTTCATATGATAGAACCTGGGTTTTTATTGAAGGTGGAGACTTTTTTGAACTATAAACTATCTCATTTTTTTTGAAGAACTCAGAAAAATCATTATTGTTATTCAATTCCAAAATACAACTCTGTATGCTTTGATATTTGCAATTTCACTGCTTATGGAATGAATTCGAGTCAGAGTTCTGATGGAAATTCAATCTGACGAGTATTTTGGTGTATGAACAAACTATGATACATACATAATAATATATCTTATTGGAAGTGAAGGACTATATGTAATTTGTGAAAAGTACTGAAACTCTTTTATTCCTACATATCAGAACAAAAATTCTTCAGAAATCAGAGTTTTTTCGTCCAGAGAAAAAAAAAATTAATTTTACACTGAATTTTTTTCAATTATAAAGACGGTGGCAGACGGTGAGATACGTATTTATAAAGCTTTTTTTTTGTTTCATGTGCAAAATCATTGAATACAACTCACTGATTATTAGAACATTTTTCTTTGTGAAAGATAGTTTGAATTTACGCAGTGTAACTTATCGGTGTGAACCGAAAAGTTTCCCTTTTCGCCACCCTTATGAAGATCCACATTTGAACTTATATTAATTTTCGAAATTGTGAAAGGTGAAGATACAAAAAAAATCGATAAAGCGATGACTATGAATTGGAAAGTATGATTAACAGAACGTCAATCGAAAGATTCACGTGAACTGATCCAAAATGAAATTGCTTTCCTGTAGTTTTATAATCCTTACTTCGCTTTCAGTTTCAAGTCTGATGCTATATGTGGTGCTGTATTGTATGGCACCAAAGAAAAAATGAAAGAACCTGTCTATTTATAATTCATCATATCTCTTAGGATTTGAAAATCATCAAAGGAATACAAGGGCGACACATCATTTGAAAAGAAATTTCATTAAGAATGTATTCATGTAACTATTCACTACGTGACTCTCCATTTGGAACTTTCATTTGAAAGATGATGCAAACAAGTTATGAAGGGACAACAAAAATAACTGAATATTGTATGAATCCAAAACATGGAAAACCGTGCATAATTTTAGTAATTTCAAAGTAGAGGCTCTAACTATTCTTCTTTAATTGCCATGCATGAGTATAATTTATTTTCGAAATGTTGTATAACTTTATGTAACATTTCTGTCTCAGTAAATATACATCATGTTCACCATTCACTTTCCGACAATGATGAAGTTTATTTACGAACTCATTTCCGACATCATGGAATGTAAATTAATCACATTCCATAATGTAAATTCTGCAATGAACTGTAATCGTCTATTGTATCCTTTCGATTTCGAGAATCCCCAAGAAAATCTAAAACCTCATATCAGATGATCTAGCAAGCCATCATAAAGGACAACTTTTGCTTATCCATCATTTAAAATATTTGTCATTGTGTTCTATTACATCCATATTCGAATTTATTGGACTTCACACATATTGCCATGAATTTCACGTTTACATTTACATGCAAAACATTATTCATTATTGCAGTTAAAAGCACAAAATTTTCAGCATTGACGGCGACATTATCTACGCTGCGCAGTTGAATTTTTCGCAGTAGATATCTCGTTTGAGACACTTTTCGATCGAGCACTCTGTCTTGAACAACTAAATTATTCAACTGCTTCAAAACAACCTTCTTTTCTTCGAACAATTGAATGCCTTTCTTTAATTCTTGAACACGTTTACTCTTCAACTTTCCGTCTGTATTCTGAATATAATTTTATCACTGATTATTTCAACTGTTCAACAACATTATACCGGATGATTCTCACCCCTATAACTTTCTTATAATTGGAGATAGAAAAATGAGATGGAGGGTTGCGTATTATACTTCCATTAACATATTTTGACATATTTACTTGCTTTGCCGTACTTTCGGTTTCACCGGAAATGGCCCCAACTTTCGATTTTTAAATGGGACAATCCTACATATTTTTACTCATTTCGATCTATAATGACATTCTGAATCCAACAATCTTCCACTTGTCAATATTTGATTAATAGTATCATTTTTATTTTTTATCTAGAATGCCCTGGATCGTGTAAATCGCTTCATTTTTGTTGGTCAAGTAAATATGAGAAAACTACGACTTTGAGACTTATGACTTCACAGTCGTTTTAAGAATTATTTCACAGTCACAAATATGAATTTTTCCAGTTACCTTGATATTTTCAAATGGAAACGTGGTGACTCGTCGGCTTTCTGTGAAAGATTATTTTCTTACGAATAATTTGATGCCACACACTTCCACTTCATTTTCTATATTTTTCTCAATAATTGCAAGAAAGTCACAAATTAGTCCACTAAGGTTATAAAGTTTCCAAATCCTTGATCACGTCAAAGTTAAACTTTTTCAATTGCGAAAAAAGAAATGAAAATTTCTATGTTTTTTACTTTTAATTTTCATTTCTCTTTTCATTATGATCTCCTACCACGTAGTAACGGCTACATCCATCAATTTATTTTTCAATTGTGACACACATCACATTGATTAGGTGTTCCATAGTGATGTTCTGCAATGCCACCCTTACTTAATGCTCTAGTTCTTCACGAGTAGTTGATGTTGTATTGTAAACCTGATTTTTAATTGTTCCACAGAAAAAAAAATTGCGGTGTAATAGGCCTATGATTATGAAACTTCGGCAAATTCAATTTTATGTTTCCACTATCTGCATTACTCAAAATATTTCGAATTTATGCAAAAGTCACCATTTCATAAGAAAGTGATGAAAACACTGAGTTTTATGAATTATCAAATCACCAACCATATTATAGGAAGAGAGCAGGGGATTGATTTTACGTTCACTATCCTTTGCAACAACTGTACCTACGAAAAAATTGAACTTTGTTGATATAAAAAACGAATTTCATGAAAGTCGTATAGACATTCTTAATCGTAACATACAGCGGTTACTTTCCGAAAATGAGCATTAATCCAGTTCATCCCATTTTTTCGTATGTTGTATGGTCAACTCCCAATCGTTAATTGTATCTAAATTTATAAAAGCTGTGCAAGAATTTTTGACAGATTCATCCCTCCCTCGAGTTGTGTTTTCATATTTCTTAAAAGTCACACATCTCTTTAACGTTCACCATTTATAACTAATAGCGTTTGGCTTATTTTCTACTTTATACATTTTCACGCAATCAAAAAGATAACATCCCAAAATTTCAGCATGGGCTTGAGGAATATACTTATTATAGATTTCATATTGACTTTTGAAATGCAGGTACTCTGCGTAATTTGAAGTTACTTAACAAAGATTTCATTGTAGTTCTTATGATCTTTCAAGGTAATTGGTTTCAATTTATTTCCATTAAGTTCTGAAGCTCCATTTGTGGAATGGTATTTAATTTTTATTATTTTTAAAATGTTTTCGAATTCATAAAGAAAGAATTAAAAATAGTTCACCACCTACCTTTTGAGAATTCGTTTCACCATTTTCATGAAAATAACTAGTTTGAAATGTTAGTATGAAAACGTAACTACCAAGTTAGTTTGGCAAACTTTAACTGAGTGTATGAGTTTCATTTTTATCAACAGATTAGAAATTATCCGTTTGTCATAAATGTTGACTCAGAATATGTGAATGAATGATTATTTTAAGCAGAAATTAAAACACTATCGTCATTGAATCCCAGTCCAGTTGACGATAGTATCCATACGTGGGTGATTATAAATATTTTATAAACCAACACAAATCTGCTTCCTCTCTATAATCAAGTTTATATTTAATCAACTGTTCACTTCATTTTTTCATAATACCTCATTACATGTCTGGTAGAATCATTATAAGACAAGAAACCATTTTATGAAAAAATTTCATATTCTATTCTGAAGGAAATTATATTTATTTTATGAGATATATTACTTAGTATGGAATTATGGGAAAAATTACTGTATTTTTCAGACTCAGGATTTTTTAAATATAGCTATTGAAGAAAGTGTAAACAACAGTTGATCAAATTCAAAACTCACTAACTTCGATGCCAATCACATATCATAATTCATAACTTTATAAATATATAGTTTGTAACGTAAATCAGTAATACAATACTAACCAGTCAAGTGAAAACTAGTGTATCCTACTAGAAATTTGTAATGTGGCGAAAAAAATTAACGTTTTTCGAAAGTTCGTCACTAAATAACAAAACTTTTTCTTGGAGTAGTTGTTAGAACATTGGACCTTAGTGTTGTGTGTTCTTGGGTTCAAGTCTCCTATATCTTGAATATATTTTTTCAAACCACTCAAAATTCAAACTATTGGAAATTGAATGAATTACAAAAAAAGTTCCTTCTAACTTAATATTTTGGCATCTGCATTTTCGTAATAATCTAAGAGCCCGTGATATTCCTTCATTATTCTAAGATGTTTGGATCATCGTGGCTTTGACAGGTAACAGGTAACTCGCTGAATACTCATGAATTTTTATGAAATGAAACTGTACTTACTCGTACTTTATAGTGGAGAAGCTGAATTTAATATGGGTTAATTGGAATTGGTTTGAAAAATTGTTACACAAATATAAGTTTATATATAAAATTTCAAAATCGAGGATGCCCCAAGGCGAGAAACATCCTATATAAAATTTTCATTACGATATTCTGATAGTCAAGTAAATGTTGTTACGGTGCAGTGTAGTGTAGATGTATGTTTCCGGAAACAAAAATTGAATCCAAAAGTAGACAACTTTGTCACGATTTAACTTACTTTTTATCTCTCATCGTTTACGAGATATTCAAGTGTCGATTCGAATCTTTCTATTTTTGTGTACTATAAGCAGACAATCATTAAGAAAAATTCACTAAAAAAATTATATCTTTACATCTGATGCAGATACCAGCCATGAATTTGAACTAACGCCTCCCAAAATGGTGTTCAGATACATGACCAGCCTTGAATTAACTCAGAGACTTGATATTGACGTGATTGAAAACAAGTATTCTAATAACTCAGTCACCTTAAATATTGTCGAAAACAGTAGCTTTTCATACTGCCCAAAATATTAACACGGTAGACATTAATATTGGAATAGCCGGTGTTGAAATAGAAAGGGTTGACAGTATAACATTTTAGGGCTCTTTCTAGACAGCAATCTCAATTTCCGTCAGCATTGCGATAATCTCACTGAAATACTCAATAAGCAGTGTTATGTGTTAACAAACCTGAAAAGAATTCTTTTATATTACCACGGACAGATAGAATCAAGAATTAACTATGGGATTATTGTTTGGGGAAATTCTCCACCTCCACACAATGTTTTTGTAACAGAAAAGAGAATTATCAGAACCATTGCGAACGCATCACAAACATCATCGCCTAGAACCTCATTTAAAACATTAAAAATTTTGCCTCTACCTGTTCTCTACATTCTGGAAGTTTTGTTGTACATCCATAAAAATAAAGAATTTTTCAAACAAAACCAATCTTTCCATGAATATGGATCAAAACAAATTTCTACATACCCAAAACACATTTATCTTTATTTCCGACTTCGGTCCACTCGACCTGAGAAAAGCGAACGACAGGCGCTTTGATAAGCCAAAGTCTCCAATGTTATTGAAGAAGACCCCATGCATTGGCTTATCCATGTGCTTCCGCAGAAGTAAGGTGATCTCTGCGGCTTTTATTTGAGCTCTTTGCTGAACGGGTTCCAACTTGGTTATAGAGTTGTGGTCACCTCGTTCAGTGTCGCAAACTATACCGAGTTCATCAGCTGCTCGGGCAGCTGCCCTGAAGAGACATGCTCCAATTCCTGCTTTCTCATGGTCACGGACCATACAGAGAAGGGGATCCGAACTCCTGACGACTTAACAGGCTGTATCCAGTACAATTCTGTCTTGTAGACACAAAAAAGTCCACGGCCTCTCTGTTGCCGGGGAAAGTACAACCGTGGAACGGACGATTTGGGATGCAAACTCCTATAGAGGTGCATCATTTTTTGAGTCTTTACGTAGAGTTGATACAGTTCCTCCCGAGTCCACTCCATTACTCCAAATGAGTAGAGTAAGATTGGAACGGCAAGCATATTTGTTGCAGCAACTTTGTTCCTCCCCGACAGTTCCGATGACCAGATCTGTCAAAGTTTGTGCTGATACTTGCCGTGAAGAGAGTTTTTCACTGCTATCACTTCTTGTGAGAGGCGTTGTTCCACCCCGAGGTAAGTATACGTCTGTCTCTCCGGCATCTAGATGGTGAAGGATGCTTCCATATACGAGCTACACATTCTCTCGTCATCTTTTGAGATGGACCATTGCACATTTGTCTATCTCGAATTTCATACCGATAGCATACGTATACTCATCCATATAAAACAAATCGATGACCTTGTGTCTCCAGTTTCCGGGAGTATTCCCTCGAGTATTTTTGAGCGCAACGGATAATGGCAATGATGAGATGCAGAAGAGAAAGGGACTGAGGGAATCACCCTGAAATACACCCCTTCTGAAAGTGACCTACCCTGTTTGGACTCTTGCTTGACCAGATGTTATGGTGAAGCGAGAAGTTGTATCGATTGTTCAATGCATCTCACTATTTTGTCGGGTACCGCAAGGCATCTGAGCAAATGCAAGATGAGCTTATGCGAAATTGTATCAAATGCCTTACGGTAATTGATCCAGGCCATAGAGAGGTTACGCTTGTATGGAATCGAGTCCTGCGTTGCACATCTATCGATGAGCAGATTCTGTTTACGTCCAACGATTCCTCTCTTCGACCCTCTCTGCTCATACATCCGTTCGAACACTCGGTCAACCGCGGTGAGTAGTCGTGTGTATAAGATGCTTGTAACAACTTATAACACGAATTCAAGCATGTTATCGGTCTGTAATTCTTAGGAATCGCCATGTTTTTTCTTTTAATGATGTATTTTATGGATATGTATGTATTTTAATGATTACATCGCGTACACATCGAAGGATCGCAGGTTGAACTGTTGGGTTGTTATATTTTTTCTTGAATCTGATTCATTATTATTAATATATCACTTTCGCGCTTCCAATTTTCATCATCATCTTTGGTTTTGAGGATAAGAACGGTCCGCCCCTCGACAAACCAATACGGAATCGGCTGCTCACCGTCCAGCCATGAGTTGAAAACTCTGACCAGATGGCGGTGGGTGCATGGTAGTTTTTTCCACCAATAAGTGTTCAGCCCATCTGGGCCTAGAGCAGCAAAGTTCTTGGAAGCCACAAGAGCTCTTCGAACGTCATCCTGTGTTATCGAGTTGTGTAGTTCATTGAGCTCAGGCTGTCGAAGCTCTCTGTTGAAAGCTTCGAACTGCGCTAGGGCTGGAGTGTCTAAGTTGAGTGGCTGCGGGTTTTCATAGATATCTTTCCAGAAGGATTCCACCTGAACAGCGGTCGGTGGATTGTCCACCGTGGATTATTCACACGTGGAGACTCTTGGAAGAAGCGAGAAGGTTTCTCGCTAATTATTATTATCATTATCATTAGTAATATATTTCGTTCCGTTTACATGAATTTTCCAAATGAATCGATATCTCAGTACCAAAATTTGTTCGTGGAAGAAATTATCTTCTGTGAATGTATTTATTTCAGCATATTGAATAAGACCTATGTATAAAAATGTTTTGTCGAGAAAAAATCAACCTCCACTTCTGCCCACGAAATCATTTTAGAAAAATCCAAATATTTCGTAGTTGGGAATTTGTTCTATTGAAGTATTTTCCACAACATGTTTGATACAGTAGATACAAGTTATTCTGAAATGGTTCCCGAAACGACATCCAAAGGAAGTAGGTATAATTTTCATATAAAAGTATTTATTGAGTACGTAGGAAAATTTATGATGAGAAGTGATACTGACAAGTTGGATAAATTCATTTAAGGATTTTTATTCAAACGCAATAACATTACCGGTCAATTTCATCAGTTTGGACTTCCATTGTCTAATATAGTATGATTTGAAATCTCTGAAATAACATATTGAGATGAAAATCAAAAACCCTGAAAAGAATTTACAATAAAATAAAAATCAAGCAAAAATTGAAGATTGAACAATTAAAACGAAATAAAAATTTAAAAGATTGGGAAATTTCAAGATAAGTTACTTCACGGCGTTTCGATTTTTAGTATCCACTATCGTCTTTGGGTGATGACTGATAGGACTCGAGATGGAACTAGCCATCATTAAAAAACTTCTTCAACGAAATGGTTACTCCAAAGTGATGGTGGAACAGAATGTCTTAAAGACAGCAAGAGCCTCCCATGGAACCAGTGATTGCACTTTTCTCCATCAGAGGATTGTGGGAAAGGATATGAAAAATTGGGTCCAAGTACAACATCAGAACCTGCTTCGGATCCGTGAACACCATCTGTAGCACCCTCATGAAAACTGGGCCATCAAACGCCGACTGCGATTTTAAGAATTGAATTTACCGGATATCTTGTGAGTAAGGCAAATCCTACATCGGTGAAACTGAGAGGCCATTGAAAGTCCGAATTGCCGAGCACAAGAAACACACACAGCGAGGAGAAACCAGCAAATAGGGAATAGCAGATCATGTTCAGACCCATCAATAAAAAATCATGTGTTCCCATACTGAGATAATCCACAGGGGGGAACACTGCTTCAGGAGAAAATTCAAAGAAGCTGCATACATGTTGTCCAATGACGCATTCAACCAAGCTGGCGTAGAGATACGCAACGTATGGAAACAAATAATGAAGCGGACATCGGTCAACTCCCGCCAAGCGATCATCTCCCGCTAAACCGATGAGTCGGAGAGAAAAAAGGAAATGGGTAAAAGCACTCGAATGACTTATAAATAGTCATTTCGCAGAGGAATAAGTCTAGTTATCACCCAAAGACGATTGTGCATAGGTACTAACAATCGAAATGTCGTGAAGTAACTTGGCTTGAAATCTCTTAATTTTTTTAGTTTTTATTTCATTTCAATTGTTCAATTTTCAATTTTTTGCTTGATTTTCATTTAACTGTAATTTTTTTTCAGGGTTTTTTGCTCAATTTTCATTTTATTGTAATTTCTTTCCAAAGTTTTTTTTGCTCAATTGAAAAATGTATTCATGGAGAAATGAAATTGAAACGAATAAACGATGTTTCTTTGAAAATTGATACTCTGTCATAAAGTGGCACATTTGTCGCAACTGAGCCGGCAATGCTATATAATTAAAGTTACAGGAAACAGGTATAAATCTATCCATTCAATAACGATAAATGTTCAGTTCAATTTATTTTAAACTTCATCATATACTTTTCACAAAAATGGTTCGCAAATTATATAAGATACAAATTGTACAAAACGTCCATCCGGAAAAACTATTTTCAAGCACATGAATATTGTGAATATTCAATTGAATAACATATCATTCACAGGAACGCTACACAAAGCAATATAACAAAACAAATCAAATACTATAAATGAAATTCTCTTAGGGACCTAGTTCCTTCTGAAAACGTCATCATAACAAATTTGAAATTCGGAATGATAAATGGTAATAACTCATGATGTCAGAAACTCTTTGTAAAGAAATATATATGTTGTACTGAATTTGATTTAGGTTCTCAAGACTCTTTTTCAACCAGTTTTTGTAGGCATACATGTTTTCAACTGACATTTCATTTACAAGATTCATTCTCTCTGAATATATAAGGCAACCATTTTAACATTTTAACTATTAGGCATTGAGAAGTTCAACTTGTTCTATAGTGGTTTTTCTTTTATTCGATGCAACGAAGACAAAATACGTCAAATTGATCAAACTAATTGCTATTACTATCAGAATGACCACCATTATTATTAACAACATTTTTATGACTTCTATCTTCCCGTCATTCGGATCAATTTCCTCGTCATAAATATATTTTGACCGGTTAAAAATTAACCGGTTCACTTCGATACCCAGTAGGTATTCCTGTGACTTTTTTTTCAGTAAATCTTCACAGTATTTCCATTTCATCACATTATCTGAAATCTCTCCATCCGACATATTATTATCTGGTTTTAGGTTCTCCAGATATTTAACAAAACCACTATTTTTGAAGTCTTTATCGAAGTAATTATAAACACCTTCAAGTTCAACAGTGAAATTCTCAAAATTTTTCATGTTTTCAAGATATCTGTAAAACTTGGAGTTTTCGAAGTCTTTGTTGAAAAAAGAATAGATTTCTGAATCACTGAATTTCAGTAATTTCTGTTCTTTCATGGACTCTAAATACCTGTAAAAATTACTGTTCTTGAAACCTTCATTAAAGTAATCGTACATGATAGTTCTTTTATGATCTTCATTTGGCAGGACTTTATTCAATAAATTTTTTTCTATATTTGAACCAGAGTTTTGTGAAAACTCTGGAGGAAAATTCGAGTTATCAAAACAAGAAATACCTTGGATGTTGGAAGAGTTTCTGATGCTTCCATATGCAACAATAACACTTTTACTTCTGAAGTAATGTATTATTTCAATGAGATCGTCACAGGTGAAGTTATTGCCACCCAGAGATATTTTTGATACATGCGGTGAGTCTGCGATTATTTGTTCTGAATCCAAATGAAATAATTTATTTTGTTGAATATACAACTCAGTCATATTCGTCAAAGAATGCAAGTACCTTTTTACGTCTGTGATTTTGTTATTTGATATGTCTAAGATTTGTAGATTCTGTAAGTTTTCGAAAGTTCCGTGATGAAACTGTTTCAAGTTGTTATTGGATAGATTCAATTTTATGAGATCAGGCATATGTGAAAATATTCCGATCGGGAGAGAAGATATATTGTTATGTTCCAAATTCAATATCTTGAGTTTATTTACGTATTCAAAAGTATATGGAAACAAATCAGAAATGAGATTATAACTCAAATCACAATAAATAACTCTGGAGGAGGAATTTGAACAATTATTTTTTCCCAGTGACTTCAACCGATTTCTGCTGATACTTATACTCTCAAATTCTGCGATACAAAAGTCGATTTTAGTGATTTTGTTCCAACTCAAATCTATATTAACAATTTTATGTCGAATACTTTCAATATTGATTCCTGTTATTTCGTTGAAACTCAAATCTATATGTTTGAGTTCAACGATATTCTTGTCCAGAACCAGTTCATCAAAATTCATCAAGGAATTGACAGATAAATTCAGTGATTTCAAATTGACTGTTCCAGTTAAACAACTAGGTCCCAGAACTTTCAGTTTATTTTTTGATACATCCAAAATTTCAAGTAACGACAGGGAGTTAAAAATTCCGGGGTTCAACTCAATTATGTTATTTTCCCCAAGGTACACTTCTTTGAGGGAATATAAAGTGTTGAAAGCACCTGGTAACAGGTTTTCTATATGAAGTCTTTCCATATGAAGAATTGATGTTGAAGGATAATTCGAAAATGCTGCCGAAGGAATTACAGGAATATTCGAAAATACTATTTTCAGAACAAGAGGACAATCATCACAATCATATTTGGGAACTCTACGTGGTAATGGGAATGTGACTCTTGAGCATTCTACTGTTATATTTATTACTCTGGGTGGAGATGAAAAAGAGTTGTAATATTCATAATCATAATCATTTCTACTTTGTTCAGTTGCAGCAAACTCTTCGCAGTCCAATCCGGTACATATCTTCAGTGGGTAGAACCAGAAAAACATGATTATCAACTGAAACGTATACCTGAAAAAAACATATCATGATCAAATCAAATGCATGAAGAGATACACATTAATTCACTCAATAATAAGAGAATATGCACTTAATGTCACCGGTTTGTTACGAGGATATTTTAAAATGTAGTTGAATATTAGTCTGATCATAATTTTTTATATAACTCTGAGTCCATATAACCCCGATTTTTTTTAAATTTTCCTCTATGAATTTATCTTTTGATTTTCATAGAATTATTTTTCAGCAGTTCGACTGCATTAAACCTATCTCGATTTCATATCATTTCTAGAAATATGTGGATTCGATTCCGATGGCATTCCAGGATAGCTTTCCAATTTTCTGCTACCGCAGTTGTCGGTTGATTGGTCAAACCACCAACACTGACATAAAAACTTGGCAAGTTGACATGCATGTCACACCAATAGGTGGTTCTACTTATGTCTCGCTTGCGTTTACGCAGTTATTTTTATCGAGTACATTTCTTGGTTATTCACATTTTGTCAGAGTTCGTAGCGAGACACCGAAGAGTACAAAGGTGTTCAGTAAACGAAAGCTCACGTTATCCGAAAAGATAACCTGAAAGAAGTGAAAATTGTGAAATAGAAGAAAGTAGATCTTATCAGCACTATTTGTGTGTAACGCACACAAAAATCTTCTGATTTTTCAGATTTATATTCTTTTCAGGAACACTCCTAATACAAGTACCATTGAAGAAATGGACCAACAAATTGAGAGACACACGGAGGAAAACCATAAATTAAAAAAAAAGAAGGGAGAGCAGGACAAACAAATCTCAAAACTAGTGAGAGACCTGAGAGCTCTCACAGACCGGCTTCAACAGCTTGAAACACAGCTGAAATCGAAGGAAAAGCAGGATAATCCGCCTGCAGAAGCCGTAGAAACAACAAAAAAAAGCCATGGCCAAAAACTCCCTGAAGAAGAGAATAAAAAAGTCAATAAGAAAACACTCCCTGAAGAAAGGAGCCAGAAGGCCAGTACAAACAAAAAACTTCCTGAAAAGGAAGTAAACAAGGTAAGCGAAGAAACGTGCAACGACAAAGAAAGACAAGCGACAAACCAAGAGGCCACGCGACAAAGAAGTCATTTCCGAATCAGAGTCGGATGACGGTTTCACAAAGGTCGTGAAACCAAACCGCCGCATCAGAAGACGCATCGCGGCTGAACAAAACCAAGAACGAGCCAAAAAAGACAACCACGTGGACATGGACACACAGAAAACGGCATCCATAGATGAAAGAACCCCTGAAGAAGAGGTACACCCTGTGAAAAACACCAAAATGAACCCATCAACCGTAAGGCCAAACAATGAAGAAGTGGTGCCAACCACACGAATTTGAATGCAAATTTGAACACGACCATCGATCCCAGCAAACCGCCACCAATCGTCATGCACGATGCAAAACGGTGGAACAATGTCTTACCGAGACTTACCAAGGATGGTCGAGTGGAGGAGAACTAACAAATGTATGGAAGAATTCAGGCTGGACTGCCATACGTTTACAATTGAAAAAGAGATCCCACTTCATGTAGTCATTAGAGGAATATCGGAAAATGCAGATGAAAGAGACGTTTCAGCCGACCTAGAAAAACAGGGCTACGAGGTCCTGGAATGTCACAGGATGATATCCAGACGTTCGGGACAAATACTATCGCTGTTCTTGGTCAAGGTACCCAAAAACCAAGAAAAAATATTCACACTAAAAACGTGGGTAAACCTGATTGTGCAGGCGGAGCCGCAACGAATAAACAAGTGCCACCGATGCCAATATTTTGGACAACTGCGCGTTTCGTGAAGTTCGGCGAGAATCACGACACAAGGAAGTATCAAAAAACTAGAGAGACGCCAGTCAAATGCGCTAACTGTTTGGGAGCGCACCCGGCGATTTATAGGGGGTGCAGGATGTTTCCAAGCTCAGAACCACACAATCAGTAGGGAAGAGGCTTCGATAAGTGGAGTGTCAGAGGCCTAGACAACAACCAACAACGAGAAAACCGCCACCGAAGGCGCAGAAATCCGAAGAAAATAGGAACGACTTGATAAACGTGCTAGGAAAACTGACGACAGAATAGCAGAAAATCGCGCAGCGGTATTAGCTGCATTACTATAAGCACCTGGAAAACGTTAGTGCCTTCACGGATTCCAGAATCGCTAAAAATAGAATCATGGAACATCAATGGTGCCACAGAAAGGAAAAACGAGCTCCTAGAACTGCTATCACGGCTGAGAATAGACGTCATGGTAATTCAGGAGATAAGGATACGAAGTAACACGAACTTCCGCATCCCGGGATACACAAATTACAGGACAGACAGGCCTGGGGGCGCCACGCCGCAATGGTGCGGCGCTACTAGTAAAAACAGAACTAGCGCAACATGAAGACAGGAAGCCGAAACTACAATTCAGAGAGGCAGTAGCGGTCGAAGTCAAACTGAAACGCTGAAAATTTCGTCGGTATACCTGCCTCCGCAAGGAATACTAGAGAGAATCGACATAGCATAAATCTTCCCAGATCATCATCCAACAGTACCCATAGGCGACTTCAACGATAAGTCACGCGACTGGAACTGCAGAAAAGGAAAATAAAGAGGTAGAGAACTAGCCAGGCAGCTAGAAGAATTCGAGGACAACGCGGTAGTCGCTCCCGAAGTCCCAACGCACTACCCGCGAGAAGACCAAGTTCCAAGACATACTAGACATCGCCATAGTGCAAAATATTTCTACATCGGAGATGAAAGTACTAGACGAAGGATCGTCAGACCACCGTTCTACTCACAATAGGCGGAGAGGAACCAGATAATCCTACAAAGAGAATCATCGACTAGAGTAGATTCCAGCGCACCGTTCACGATGCGATAGGAGACATCCCTCGCATTGAAACAATGACTGATCTAGAGAACGCAGCTACAACAGGCGATCATCCAAACAATAGAGAGAAGCGCGCGCGGAAAGTCCCTGCCGCGCGCTTAAATTTGCAGGACCACATTTGACGGGAAGTAATAGAATTCATCAGAATCAGAAGACTTCTGAAGAGAAGGAGTATGCACAGAGCCGGCAGAATCCTGCGGCAAAAGCTGTGTGCAATTCAAAAACGAAAATAGACAACCCGAAGAACTCAACACCAAAGACCATGCATGGAAAATGCAGAAAGTTTTTAGGAAGGGACACCGAACACCATGTCCGCCTATCGAGAACAAGGTCGAGGAGACGGTACGAAGGATAAGATGGCAACGAAGGGACAACACGCAACCGCTAACACCGACATCACCCGAAGATGTGAAGGGCATCTTGAGGTACCTAGCCACTCGGAAAGCCCACGGCCCGGACCAGATTCCAAACAGGGCACTGAAAGCCCTGCCAAAGAAGGATATAGTGGCAATGACGAATATCATTAACGCTATACTCAGACTACAACATTTTCCGTACCCGTTCAAGAAGGCAACGGTCATTCACATCCCGAAGCCAAAGAAGAACCACATATTTTCTAATATTCATAGGGCAAGAAGCTCAGCTCCTTCAATAAGCAAAGTGGCAGAACGAGTTATCTTGAAAAGACTGGAAGACCAAACCAGCGAACTGGGAATCTTACCAGATGAACAGATCGGCTTCAGATCCGAACACTTGACAGAGCTGCAAGTCCTGAGGGTAGTAGACTATGCGACAGAAGGTTTCAACCCATGTAAAGGATACCACACCAGAGCGATATTTCTAGACGTCTCCATGGCGTTCGACAGAGTTTGGCACCCCGGATTACAAGCCAAAATGAGCAATTTTGGCTACTCAAAACAAATGAAATGAATAATCAAATCCTTTCTAGCTGATCGGTGATACCGCTGCAGAGTAGGACAAGAACCCTCCACCGTGCGATTACTGGAATCAGGGGTCCCACTAGGTGCAGTCCTTTCGCCACGCCTCTACTCGGCATACAGAGCAGACATGCCCAAAACTGAGAACAATTCTAACAAGTTTGCACTCTACCCGGACGATACAGCTCTACTGGCGAGATCAACTAGCCATGCGCAAGTTCCCAGATACTTGCAACAACAGACGGACAGATTAGAGGAATGGGTCAACCTTTGGAAAATCAGCATGAACCGTGACAAGAGTCAGGCAATACTTTTCACCCAGAGGATGGTACACCCGGACGGAAACGTCACATTCAACGTACAAGAGATTCCGAGGACCAACGAAGCGAAATACCTGGGAGTCACTCTCCACATGAGACTAACGTTCAGGGTCCACGTAGGGTAGAGACTAGGACTGGCAAGAGCCGCCCGACAAAATCTACATTCGATTATAGGTCACAGAAGCAACATGGGACTCCACATAAAATTGCTGCTAATCAAGACCGTACTACTCCCAATCATCCTGTAGGCCTGCACTGCCAGTGCGCAGCGACATAAAGACGCAGTACATTCAGCAAATCACATTCAAGTAAAGTTATGATTCGATAAATTGATAGATCAGAAAGTAAAAGCACCCACAGGTAGGTCAGATGTCAATCTTGCTGAAGTGCCCTTCAGTAGATTGAAGTCCACTCATAAGAGTGGGGGTGGCTAGACGGGATGGGTTGTTCTGCCCGCAGTAACCGTGTGGGGAAGATTTTATCTCAGGACACTCAACCCGGAAGAGGGCATAAGGGGGGGTCACATTTTGTCTTCAATCGAGGACTACCTGCCCAGTACTGACAATGCCCAATAGGCTGAAACAGCTGTCTAGCGGTGGCACTTGAATTGAAATCAATAAGGAAAAGATCAGAATAGTAGTTATCTATTTATAATTTTTTATATCGACAATTTAATTTTTTTTTATTATTTCGAGAACAGCTCACGATACACTGGATTGCTATAATTAATTTCATTGCATTGTAAAAAGTACGATTTTGTCTAATTTAGCCAAAATCGTAGCTTTTACCGTTGCCTAGATAGAAATTGTGTTCAATATATCTTCGCCGCTCAGTATGACAAAGTCTGCGGATTTCATTTCTCCAATTTCCAAACCTTTTCCATTCCCGATAAACTCAACGCATTTTCGTCTCTGCTAAAAAGAATAAACAACTCCTACAATTTTTGTCGATATGACTCAGCCCTTGACAGATTTTGTGACTCTTTCAATTTAATTTTATTTCGACTAAAACTGCGTGTTTATCGAATGAAACGAAGAATGTGGTATTTACACGACGGAGCATTTGGTTACCACACTGTTCCTGTTAATAATTATTCAGACAATGCATTCCCAAATGGCTACCTCGCTCAGCAGATTTGACAAAAATGATTTTTTCATGAGGGGCTACGTTGAAGATAAGTTTTATAGAGAGAGTACCTCCATCTACAAAGGAGGATATGAAAAATAGAATCAAGGATGTATTCCAAAATATCTTTCAAATTGAATCACAGAACAGCTGTCAGTGTCAATCGTTTTTATCTCTCTCTGTGGTCTGTAGCCACATGGCTTTTACCAGTAAATTATAATTTTCAAACCATAACGATTTTATTATGTAAATTTAGGTAATCTTCCTTGTATCATTGAGGAGTCAAAACTTTCTTTTATTCTGGTAACTTGTTTTATTTTATTGACATGTTTCAACTATTTAAATGTAACATTCTTTTTGACTTGGCCATCCTCACCAACAGTAAGTTGAGCCTTTTTTGTAACAAAATTTAAATTATTGCTATTTTTTGTAGCTCTTTTTTTATTATCGTTTATTATGGGGATTTATAATATTAACACAGTATAAATCCCTGCACGGCTGAATCTAAGGCATCGTCAGGTGTAGCTGACGTGCAAAAACCATCATATAGGAAGGTTTTCGTGGGTATCAAGGTGGGAATTTTGCAACCTGACTATCCGACTACCTCATTAACAGAGCATATACTTTGTCCCTGCCCCACTGGGGACCGAATCAGGTCTTTAGAGTTCGGCAGAGCCGTATTCTAACCATCCGACCTGAAAGATCACTCACCGTTCAAACTAATCGGCTTCGTTAAGAAGCTGGGTTTATTTGGCCGAATGTGAATAGGTGTGAGCCACAATAAATCCTTGCGGGTTGTGGTGGAGGGTCGAATAGATCTACTTTCTTTGCACCCAACCTAATCTAACCTAGTCTCGCAGATGTTTGTTGTTCATCCAACAGCAGGACCATGCTGGAATTATTCTAGTAGATCACCCCCATTTCATTTTCGAAGTATTACGTCTCATCAGTGCAAGAAAGATCCGACCTGAACAGCAAAGTGCCTGGGACTGCATTGATTTCAACGCGGCACAATTGTATAGATGAATAATTCGTCTAAGAGGAAGATTGTTAACTGGTAAAAGCCCCATCTCGTTTCTTTCCCGCCCCAAGCGGGACGAGGAAGAAATTTCGAAATATTCATTTCTCCTAACTACCTTCATCGTAAGTTCTGGTAAATACCTGCCAGAAAACAAGTACTTGTATGGCTGATACCACGCTGGATATTGAATTATGTCCGACAGACATTTATGCAAGATACCTCTTGAAGGTTACTTTCGTAGTCTCGTAATATGCAACCCATATTTGGAATGACGCAATCGAGAAACATGGAGAGTCGAAAGCTGTTGCGCTTGATATTTCTAAGGCCTTTGCAAATGTATGTCATGAAGGTTTGCTGGCCAAACTTCGATGCTATGACTTGTCGGATCATATATGTATGGTTCTTCAGCTTCCTGAAAGAACGTTATCTGCAAGTGGCCGTCGATGAATATCTCTCAAATACTTTTACTATCAACGCTGGTATTCTACATAGATCCAACCCTCTTTTTATTGAATATCAACGACTTGGAAACAAGAATTCAATATACAGGGTATTTCAAATTCGATCCTCACTCACCATTGTGATCTCGGAAACTATGAGAGGTAAGAAGATGGTTAAATATGTCGTTGAAAAAGTTCTGGAATTCCGAGTATATCCGAAGATATCCGGAAAAAACAGTAATTTCTGATAATGGTTTTTATTTTTTTCTGGCATTATTTTTCGAAGGATTCGAAAATAAATTGCTCTTTCGCATTGCTACTTTTTCCCTGCTATCCGACGTTTCCTCTTCCACCACCATCATCAACTCTATTTTTTCTCATGGGCGCTACATTGAATTCTTTCTGTTTTCAAAAGAGCCAGATTTTATCTTTTCAATGATGTTTCATAAGTTATTATTCCGTTTCGAAAAATTTGAGATATTGAAAAAAATTAATTCTTGTCTTAATAAACTTTGACTTAGATGTTTCTGAATTTGACTTTCAATTTATTACACTTTATGACATTTTGACATGAAGAATAAAGAGATATGATACTAATTTATTACAAATACGATAGATACAGTGTTAGGACATCGGAAATCTATTTGAAGTTGTATACCGAAAGACAACAACCACATCGAACTATGTTCGTTATTGGATCAAAATCTCACCGAGTTTGGTTCATTTGAAAAGCCAAGGAAAAAATACGGAGACAAAAAGGACCAAGAAACTAAAGAAAATTTGATAAATTAAGTATGTATGAGGAAAGTTAGACATAGTGTCCTTTCAATAAAAATTAATAATTTGCAGATAAACATGAACTCGGGGAAATTTAAACGTCAAATTTCCTCCGAAATAAATATTTTTGTCATAAAAGTGTTTGGAGACATCTCAAAGAAGGCGGTTTGAAATGTTACAAAATACACATATCTCAAAAATTGCATCCAGGTGATCCGGAAAAGCGATTAGAATTTTGTAATTGACTAATTAGAAGACCTGATTTTCCTGTTTTCCTGGAAAATATAATTTGGACAAATGAAAGCTTTTTTATGGATTGTGGGATATTCAACCGAAATAACGCACACATTTAGAGCAAAAACAACCCCAGGCAGTTCCGAGAAATTTGACCTCAAGTGCAATTTAGTATNATACATGGATGTGTAGATCATGCAAAGAAGTAACTTTCAGACACAAACTGAAAGAAAGTCCTCCTGAAAGAGCTACTTTCATATAAACATTGAATTACACGAAAGAAAAAAATTCTTTCGAAACAAATACTTCTAATACAAAAATTAATCACTCCTAAAAATATAACCCCTTCAATTCAAGTAAACAATACTGTAGTACATTTTTTATCTATCTCGTAGGGTTCAGCCAGGGTTTGCAGGGTTTTTAAGCGCAAAATATGTGTTCATTTACGACATCACATTAGAAACCTCTGAAATTATCAGTATTTTTCTACTATATTATGCATGTTATATACAAATACTTTCCTCTTGAGTCACTCTGTCTATTGAGAATACCCCCATCAAAATCCGTTGCGTAGTTTTAAAGATCGACGCATACATAGGGAAGCGACTTTGTTTTATACTATGTAGTGATAGTTATGAATTCCATGGTATCACATATGAAAATTTCTAATTGACTGATTAATCATGACCATATTAGGTTGTTTTGAATAGTAAATTTCATTCACAGATCATTCTAAAATCTTCTAGAAGTTTTACATAAAATCACAGGCACATTACATGAATAACGAAAAACTTACAATGAAAAAAATGTGACTATTTAGATTCAATCCACATCATCTCAGCTTTTCACGAGATGAAATTGATCTCAATGATTTTTTGTAATTCCTGAAGTTATTCATTTTATTTCTAAATTTTATTTTTTCAATGTGAAAAATCTGAGCGAAGTAAGAAACTAAAAACTACCCTTTTTTCAAAATGATAATTCAAATTAAACTGAAAGCTGCTTATATGGATATTATAACGTTTGAATTCCAAACGAATGCATAATAGTAGAATCTTGGTTTCAATTATATAATTGTTTCTTTACTAACCTTCTATGGATCTGCCTCAACATTTTCAATGAACTAACTGGTCAGCATTGATTCATAACAATTTAACCACTGATTTGGTTTCAGAAATTTCAACTCAATGCATGCGTTTTATTATTGTCAACTGATTAGGAATTAACTGTTTGTCATGAATGTTGACTCAAACTATGTGAATGAAATTATTTCAGGCAAAATTTGAAACGCCATCGTCATCAAATTGCATTCTAGCTGCAAAGTATTTTGCGAACCTACTTACTATATATGATGACGAATGGATATGATGTCCCATCAACTCTGCTTTATTTTCATAGTCGAGTCAAAAAATTACTATTTCATTTTATGTATAGAACGTCTAGCTCATGGTAGGTACTTAAAATTCGAATTCAAAAGGTGTTCGGTTTCCATCTGAGAATTCAATTGACGAAAATTTGTTTTTCTATTAACTTCATTTTACTAATCCTTCTTCACGCGTTAACTTCGAAAAAGAACCTGTTTCATATTTAGCAGAATATTGTCGAGCAAGAAATTACTTGATGAGAAAATTAAATCTTCGATCCTAAAAGTAATGACACCAACACCATGGGGGCGGTAAATGATGATGAGAAATCAACTTCTCTTCTGAAAATATCTCTTTCGCCTTACTAAATCTTCTGACATCTGATACAGGCTCACCTGAGCCCTGATAGTTTGATTATGATACCATGCAGCAGCAGATACCTTGGAACAATCGAAGTCAATAATTTGTATATTTTTTGAACCTCGTCTTTTTATCCATATAGTGTTTTTACAGCGCACATGACAAGGTAAATTCATGTTTTCCCTAACTCATTATATTCTCGGGAAATTTCTCGAAAGGTAAATTCATAGATTATTGTATGATTGAAAATATATTCACTGTACAGGGTGATGAATATTAGAGTAATGACCTGAATATATTTTTTTGAAAGGCATATTCTGTATAAAATGTGACCTAGATAAGAAAGGCCAGCGAGAAAAAGTGAAAAATCCATATAAAAAATTTAATTGGTGATGATTTTTGAAGTCGAAACGTCTATCAAAACCTACTTATGCAGCATAAAATATCTTTTTAAATAAGGGCAGAAAAAAATCAAAACGGAGTTTGCAAATTTCAGTCGTTTCCTATTTCATTTTGAAGTATTATACTATGAAAAAGTCACCGTTTACTATGCTCCTCTGGAATCGTCATCCACAAAGTTTCCTTCGAACAAGAAAGTGGTAGGAATGGCAACAAATGTCACACTGACGTCCGAAATATCAAATTTTTCATATTCTTGAAAAATCTGAGATTATTGAAAATACATTTCTTTCAAGAGAAAAAATGTATCTCCCAAAACAAAAAGCACCTTTCGCGGCGATATGTTCTCCTTCCACCTTTTTCTCACTAGTTATCGATTTCACCGCTTTCAGCAATAAAACAGCAGAACAGCTCTATAAACCGACTAATCTGATTTTTTACGTTGACAGAATTATTCTACATTAGGCAAACCCTGTGGCAGTTGTTTCATGCCATTTTGAACTATCAAACGCCCTCATACCTGTTCTTCCGTCAGCTGGTGACTGTGGGTCATCTCGATATGTACAATGAAGCACTGAAATATACACTCTCGGATGAAAATAGCACATATTTTATTTCAAGATTTTCTGTTTCCTTAATACATTATTTATTTTTATTGATAAATGTTCAAAGGCTGAAGTATTTTACGTTAATTTCCATACAGTATAGATGAAAGAATGCTTGGATATAGTGGGTATAGCTGAATAAGTAAAATAATGGTACAAATTATAAACTTTGTATAGTGTGCCTTTGCCACTATTGATGTCTATTGTTTTGTTTACTGTTACCAGAATGACATTTCGAGTACTTTATGTTTTGATTCTGTAGTTTTCGCTGTGATATGCCTCATTCGAGCGAATTAATTTGTATTAAAATTGTTTCTGTAGTCAATGAGGGATGCAGGCAAAAATATATTGCGCGGAGATTGTATATCCATCAATCGACTGTTTCTCGTATACATGAGCGATACAATGAGAGGGAGTACAATGCCAAGAGATGACCAGTATTTGGAAATTCAACCATTGCGAAATCGCTCGCTTTCAGCTCCGCATCTCAGAAATGATTTACTGAGCACAAGGCGAATTAACATGAGTGTCAAAACAGTAATAAGAAGACTCTAAGAAGTTAGTTTGAATCCAAAACGCCCTGCCAGAGTTCTTAGGCTTTCCCCACGTCACAAATCTAGACGGTTACAATTTGCCATAGCACATGTCAACTGGAATGAACATCAGTGGGGAAAAATCTTTTCACACATGAAACAACAATACAGTTATGGAAACCAGATTGACGTGGTAGAGTATACAGAAGATCTGGAGAACGTTTAACAGAATGAAATCTTGTACATAACTTTAGCTTTGGTGGTGGTTCTATTATGTTGTGGGGTAGCATTAGTTGGGATAGTCGTATCGAGCTTACATCGGTAAATTTAATAATGCATGCTGACTGGTACATACGTGTTACAATTTCGTGTTAATGCATCATAATGCTCGTGCAAATGCTGCAAGAACAATCACCCAGTATCTTGAAGTTGTTGGACTTTAGGCAGTGGTGTGGCCACCAAACAGTCCTGACGCAAATCCAATAGAACATATTTGGGACATACTGAAAAGACATATGTGAACATGAAATCCAGCTTTTAACTCAATTGCAGAATTGAGAATTGCTGCACAGGAAAGATGGAATCGAATTCCATAAAAAACCATCACAGACTTTTTGTGGAGTATGCCCAGGAGGATACAGGCTATCGTTAGATCTAGGCAAGGAAACACTAAGCACTGAACTGGTATTATGTTGTCTCAAAGAACTTTCATTTTATTGTCATTGTTGATTGTTCCGATTGAATATTATCACCGAAACTAGTCCATTTCATTATTCCATTATGAAGTTTCGATATCTGGATTATTTGGTGATCAATATACGTTAAATACTTCAGCATATACCATTCAGTAATGAAAACTGCATAAAGATTTAGACGAAAAGAAATGAACATGAAATCAAGGCTTGAAATAAAATATGCAATATGTTTGTCTGTCATTGTATATACTAACAACCGACGGTGACGCGACGCCTTGAATATGTCAGATCCATTCAGTGATAACTGATCCACCTTTTACCGATCATCGTCCAAGAACTGAACCGAATTTTTTTCAATGAATTGGACCTATGATTGCTTCGGACAAAATGTTTTCAATTGGAAAATTCTTCGGGATCAATCATTTCCTGAATCGAACAAAAGATCGAATTGTGTTTGTTTCAAAATGAGCAGTAAACAAGGTGTGCACCACATAGGAAACTTCATTGAGGATTTCTAGATAAAAAGTCATTCTTGGTAAAGAATTGTGTATCTTCTAGTAAAGTATCCTTATCTTGAAAACTTCCGGGAAATATTCATTACAAAATTTGTGGAGTTTTATTTATTACTAATTTTTGTCAATTGGTGACTCCAAAACAGTCACTAAACAATAAATGAAATCCTATATACAATGATTTACTAAAACCATTGTCAATTTTTTCGAAGAGTAAAATAATTTTCAAAATTTTTGGTGCGACATTATTGTTTTTTTTACAGAAAATTGATCAAGATCATACTGTACTCTAACAAAAACGTAATTTTCAGTAATATCAAATTACAGAACAACAATCTGAAAAAAGAATTTCGACAAAAACTCATTACATTCATTTCGTGGAGATATTCTTGTTCAAAATGATTGTTTTGAGTTTACTTTGAAAACAAATGCTATTGGTACCTTCTCCATTGACAGGACACTTACCAACAATCGGTATTTGCAGCAAAATCAATCACCAAATTTAAATCATATTCCGCATAGACAAACAGGCAGAATTTTGTATCAGTTAGATAGAGTTAGTTTTCACTGTAGTGTAGCGATACTATGATTTTCAAATAAAACATCAAATGGAAAATGGATAGAACTTCATTCAGAGTATCCCATGCCAGCGCACTAACCAGATTTAACCCAAACGGAGAACATTTGAAAACTGTGATGACAATCAATCAATCAATACATTACGAATGCAGTCAAGGATTGTGTGAGAAAAACATATTGAGGAATATTAAATGTGAAAAATACCTTAAGGAAACATGGTTTCGTTTTAAAATCGAATTATAAGAATTTGTTTGGATAAGAAAATCTCCACAAAATTACCGTTATGGATTTGAACCGAATTACCCATTTTATTTTTATGTTTTATGATTTAATGAAAAATGGGGAATAATTTTTTTATTTGGTAAAAAACATTTTATTTCTCATCTTTCATGAAGATCTTCCACCACGTAGTAACGGCTACATCAAACAATTCATGATTTAATTTTATAGAATATCAAGTTCTTGTTACAATTCTGTATAATTTCGATCAATTTTTGTGGTTGAGAAAAAATAAAACAGTTTATCGATCCAGCATTTTTTTTCTTGCTTTAACAAATCCATCTGATTTGTTGTTGTAAGTTTTTTAATGTGACGACCACACCTCGTGTGTAAAATGAACTCGTCATATTTACTGGAACTGGTGACTCTACAGTTAAATGGCTATCACTTTTGATCAAGAAGTTTTTTTTGCTGAACAACTTTCCTAATTAACATTTTCTGAGATTTTTCACAATATTGCATTCCTCTTTCACAATCGAATTTTTGAAAGCTTCTCGTATTGTACGTATGTTTTTCTATATTTCGTTGGTGCATGTTTAGATTTAGAAGATGCACAACACTTTCTATATGTCAGCCGTGGGTCTATTACGATAAATCCATGATAGATCCAATACTTCGGTTACCAGCGAGCCACAAGAGAAAAACACCCACAACTGACTTTTTTGAAATAATGGTCAACGGCAATGTGGTGCCAACTTACGATGACCGCAACAACACCAGGCGCTTTGAGTGGATGCTAAGGGATATACTCATGCATTGTTATAAGAGTAGTGAGCCCGCCCGAAGAGCCCACCATGCTTTGTGATATGAAATACATCCAGAGCATGCCATCCTCCCGTCTGCTAACGAATAGGTGAAAGTGGCAGCTTCACCATCCGTTGGCACGGTTGGCGAGAAGATTCGCATCATTTCACCTGTCAAAATACTTGGAACACGCA